CCCCAAAACCCCAAAACCCCAAAACCCCAAAACCCCGGGATTGTAGGACATAATTGAAATAAGGCTATATGATTTATTAGATACAACAACTTTATCCTTCAATCCCTATTGCTTTTCCCTGATGTTGCGCAACATCAATATAAAATTTGCTGAATTCAAGATCTATGTTGTACATATCTTTTGAGAAGTGCTGCTTAATTGCCCTCCCAATAATCTTGTCCCTTGATAACTTGTAGGTAAGGGTATACGGCTCAGATTTTATCTTCCAGATTTGTTCAATGTTGTCTTCTCTTTTAAAAATGCTCTCTTTGAGTTTGGAATTTATAACTTGTTCATCCTGGAATATTCCAGATTTTGCCAGAAAAAGCCCTCCTCAGAGAAATTGCTCACCATAAGATTCTTGAATGAGGGTTTTGGCATCTAGTAGTTTCTTTATTGCTTCCTGGCATTTAGTCTTTACTTCGTACTCTTTCTTGAGAAGCACGTTCTTCAGGAAATTGAATTGGTTCTTTGTTGGGTTCAGTGAAGCCACGAAGAGATCAAGCTCATTCAACTCGTGGGTCTCCATGAACTCAGGGATCTGATACTTAGTCCTACTATTGAGCTTCTTGATTATATTGTAGTCAGTGGTGTATTCTTCAGTCAGGTCTTTCCAATATGGAGGAGTTGAATTCCCATGAATGTTATTGATCAGCATTTTTATAACTGAATCAATGAAAGACTTGTGCTTTTCAAGTAGTTTCCAACATTCATTGTCCCAGATATCAGCAATAGACATTGCTGCTTCCTTCTTGTCTAAGGTTTCAAGGTCAATGACATTGGACCAGAGTTTCCTGACTTCTTTATCAAAATCGGTGAGAGTTGTCTTGGATTCAATGTATGGTTCTCTCTCGATCTTAGGTTTTGTCTGATTTACTATGTTAAAGAGCCTTATGTTCTCTTTTTCAAGGTGCTTTACTCTGGCTTCAAGTTCTTCAAGATACTCCTTCTTCCTCTTTCTTGCCTTCCTAGATCTCAGTTTGCTTTTCAGCTTTTTGGTCTCTTGGTCTTGAGTTGGCTGATTGCTAGATTGACTTTCTTTTGATTTTTCTTCCTCCTGTGATTTCGGCTCATGACTGATTTCTGGAAAAATTTCTTTGCTATAACCTTCTAAAGCATGTAAACAGCTATTTATCAAAGTAACTTAGTTGAACACCCTCAATTCGGGTTAAAATTCTCTCCTCTATCGTCTCTAACCCTCAACCTTATTCCTCTCTAATTCTCACCCAAAAGCAACCCATCCCTCTATCCCAATCTCCCCCTCATCCCCACATCCTTTCCGTCACCTACCCGCTTCAAGTTCCTTCCCAAAGCCGTTATCAAATATCTCTCTGAAAGGGTTATGATCAAGCTCTTGCTCTAACGCTTGCCTATCAAAGAACATAAGTGCTTTGTAATATTAGGTGAGTAATTATTCTATAATTTGTGTACAAGTTGGGGTTTTGGGGTTTTGGGGTTTTGGGG